AATGTACATGACATTGTTTGCACAAAATTGGTTTTATTTAAAATTTATAACATTTCAGTTTTCTATGACATAACAATTCAGGGTTGGCTGGCAGGGAATACTAAAGGAATACTAAATCCACCCTTAGTAATCCCCTGATATAAGATGTTTATCATAAAGTTTAAGTAAATGAGTAAAGTTACACTTTCACTGTCTGGTTTGCATACACAATAGTAAGACAATAACAATATATGTAGTGCACGGGACATCGAAAAGGTTTAAGTTGACAATGTAGTGGCAGTGTAAGATTATCCACTAACTTATATCATCCCATCAAAATGTGGTCCATGGCGATTTTAACGCCCACCACGCAGAATGGCTTGGTTCACGATTAACCGATCATGCGGAGGGTTCTGTTCATGAATTTGCCATGGCATATGGTCTGATACAAGTGGTTACTACGCCTACGTGGATTCCAGATGTGGAGGATCATTCACCTTCCCTGTTGGCCCTTCTGCTGACCTCTCATCCGGACATATCAGGTCTCCGTCGTCGCACCTCTTGGCTCCTCGGACCATTACCTAGTCCGTAGTGTGGTGCCACTGACGCTGAAATCGCGCTTGCTTTCTGCAAGCTGCCGCCGTGTTTGGCACTATAGGCCAGCTGATTGGGATGGGATGCGGTCTTTTTTTGCATCCTACCCTTGGGGGCGGGTATGCTTATCACCGGATGAACCCAAAATTGTTGCTAATTCTGTTCCTGATTTGGTACTTCAGGGTATGGAACTATTTATTCCTTCCTCTGTGGTGCCCATCGGATAGCCCAGCCATGATTTAGTCGCTCCTGTAAAATAGCATCACGCTACAAGCAGGAGTGCTACCGGGCCTGGGCTGATGCATCAACTTCCCGGGATTTAAACACCTGCGCCCTTAAAAAGAACTATAATTCCGCCTCCAAGTCCTTCAAAAGAGTCATTGCCAAGACAAAGTCAGAGCACATAGGCAGAATTGGCGAGAAACTAGTTCGCCTTCCTTCGAGAACCCGTGCATTCTGATTTCTCGCCAAGGCTGTCCAAGGGAACTTCTGTCAGCCATCTCTTCCATCTCTGCACAGGGAGGACGACTCACTGGCCCATGCCGCAAAGGAGAAAGCCGAGCTGCTGGGCTCTTTTTTTGCGTCCAACTCGATGACGAGAGGAACACACCGGCGATGATCCCGCGGTGTGGGTGCTCCATGCAGGATGTGCGGTTCTCACAGCACTCGGTTCGCAAAGCCCTCCTCTCTCTGAACATCCACAAGTCGAGTGGCATTGACAAAATCCCCCCAATTGTGCTCCAGAGTTGGCACCGGTTCTGACGTGTCTTTTCCGGTACTCCTACTCCCTAGGCAAAGTCCCGAAATCATGGAAGACGGCTTTTGTCCGAATTCTAACCCGATCCCTAAAAAAGGCGACCGCTCAGACCCGTCCAAATACAGTCATATCGCCATCACCTCCTTGTTCTCCAAAATAATGGAATCCATTATAAACTGCCACCTCATGCGGTACCTTTAAGATCACCATTGTTTAAACCATTGTTTAATGACCGCTAATACGTTTTTCGTCGGGGTCAATCAGCTGGTGATCTTCTGGTCTACCTGACTCATAGATGGGCGGAGGCAATAGAGTCCAAGGGGGAGGCATTGGCCGTTAGTTTGGACATTGCGAAGACCTTCGATCGGCTTTGGCACAAAGCACTTCTTTCGAAGCTCCCTTCCTATGGGCTTCTCGAGAAATTGTGCAATTGGATCACCGGCTTTCTTTCAGCTCGGAGCATAAAAGTCGTAGACGGTGCATGCTCCGACTACAAGCATATAACTGGTGTTCCACAAAGCTGCGTGCTATCACCAACGCTGTTTCTTCTGCATATCAATGATATGTTGTAAACCGGTAACATTCATTGGTATGCGGATGACAGCACTGGTGATGCTCTATACAGTGGCCGTGCCAATATTTCTCGGGAAAACATCGCCGAGTACCGGAACAAACTTGTGTCTGAAGTCGAGTCTTTGCTGAACAAAGTCACAAGTTTGCGCGTTTACCGCTAAAAAGAACCCCTTTGTCGTATCGCTTCAGTTTCAAGGCACTCCCCTTGTTGCCTCAGCCAGTATCGGAATCCTCGGCGTCGATATCGAGTGGTGTGCAGTTTCGTGGTCACTTGGAAGAGAAAGCCAAATTGGCCTCTAAAAAACTTGGTGTGCTCAGCAGAGCGGGACAGTATTTCATGCCGGCACACCGCATGCAACTTTACATGAAATGCTGTTCCCATCTCTGGGATGGGGCTCCCCAGTGCCAGCTCCTTCCGCTTGTCCGCATCCAGCGCAGAGTGGCTCGAATCGTCGACGACCGAGTTCTTTCCGATCGGCTCGATTCACTAGCGCTGGGAAGATATGTTGCATACCTTTGCATTTTCTTTCGCATTTACCACGGGAAGCGCTCTGAGGAATTGTTCGGATTAATTCCAGCCGCCAAATTTCACGAACGCACATTGCGGCAAACCTCCCGATACCATCCACACTTGGACCGGATGCTTGGCGGTTCACCACTGTACGTTTCACTAGGAGTTTTCTTCCGCGTACGACCTCTCTGTGGAATAGGTTACCACCGGCGATTTTTCCGGACCGACACGACTTAGGAACTTTCAAGAAAAGAGCTTACTCCTTTTTAAAAGGCCGGCAACGCACCTGCAATTCCTTTGGTGTTGCAGTTGTTCATGGGCGGCGGTAGTCACATACCATCAGGTGAGCCGTATGCTCGTTTGTCTCCTATAAAAAAAAAATTAAAAAAAATGTAGGATTTGAACCGATGAACGATAATTTTTATTATGTTTTTAAAACTTGTTATTTATTTATCTTTTCATGAATAGCATGACAATTATCATTCTTATTAATAGTGAAACTTGTTAATAACAAACTTAACTGTCATGTTGTTCTTAATGGTTGACTGATCATGAGGACCCAAGATGATGTGCTTGGCAGAGAAGGAAAAAGTTGAAGTTTACTGTCAGAAAACTGAAAGTTCTTAGAAAATGAAAAACTGAATAAACTAGCAAGTTATTAGTTTTATTATATCTTTTCAAAATGGTGTCCATTTACATCAATACATCACTGCATCCGATGGAACCAGTTAGAAAAGCACTTTGCCCACTTGTCCTAGGGGTCTCTTCGACGGCATTTTGAAACGCAGCCACTGCTTCCTCGGCGTCCATAAAACGTTTTCCTCGAAGTTTTTCTCGGCGTGCGACGAGGCGTTGTCGTGGTGAAGGAGGATCGTACTGCGAGGTAGTTTCTCCTGAACTTTTTCCAAGACAAGTGGCAAACAATTGTTAGTGTACCACTCTGCAGTACCTGTTTTACTATCCTCTAAAATAATTGTTGCGTAATGACCTCTCCTTCCGAAGAACGAGGCCATCATCTTTTTCCCACGCTTCGACCTCTCTTCACTTTAGCTGGCAACTCCTCGGAAGGAAATACCCAGACAGCAGACTGTCTCTTAGTTTCAGGATCATAACAATAAATCCAGCTTTCGTCACTCGTAAATATGCCGAACCACAGCATTTGAGTCACCTCCGTTAAACCTTTGAACCATTTCACGACACCAATCAACACGACGGAGTTTTTGAGCCTCTGTCAAATTATGAGGTATCCACCGAGCACAAAGCTTCCTGACAAAGCTAAATGTTCATGAAGGATTTTGTGCACTTGACTCATACCGATGCCTAAGCTTGTCCAAATCTTCTGATAAGTCACTCTTTTGTCAATCTTTATCATACGCCTCTTCTGTTGTCGCCGTAGACGGCCGTCCCTCACGCAAATCATCGGTGAGATATTAGTGCGACCCTGTTTAAACTCATTAAACCAGTTGTAAACAGTGGCACGAGATTAGGCTTCATCGTGAAAGGCCGATCGAAGTCTATCATAACTTTCTTGTTAACTTGAATGACATCGAAAGTCATAAAAAATCATTGTATAGTCCCACCAACTTATCTGTGAACTGACAGCTGCGGCAAAATTGTGAACTACAGCCGCCATTTAATCAAATGTCACTCGATACGTCATTGTTTTGAGAGTTTATAGAAAAATAAAAAATGCCGAGAACCATTAAAAGTGATGCCCGAAACATTATTTTATAAGTATTAAACTCTTGTGAATAAGAAGCTCGAGGGTAAGCACCGATAATGTCTTTCAATCAGGTCTATAAAAGAGTATCAGCTGCTATGTTTTGTTCCTTCCTTTCGTATTTCCGATAAATGGATTGGTTAATGCAATTCATTTCTTTTTCAGATGTTAGTCAAGGATTCATTTTGAAAATAGTTATAGAACCGGAAACCGCATAAACCACAGGAACGCAAATTACAACGCCCAGTAAAAAAGGCATAAAGACATATCATTTAATTAAAGTTTAAATTGTTCAATTATGATATTTTTGTTTCTTCTTGTTCTTGGACATATATCTGTTAAATCTGTGTTCTAGTCTTTTTATTCCGTGACTAATTTATTACCCTAGTATGTGGACGCTATGTAGGAATATAAGACCCTTTGATGGGAATATTCCCGAACTGGCAACACTTCAGCGCAGAAGCGCCAAGCTGTCAGTTCACAGATAAGTTGGTGGCACTATACGAAAAATTTTTCGCGGTTAAATTCATGCTGATGTGACAAACAATTTTTAATTTGCAAAAACAAATGACAAATTAATAAAATACATACACAATAATAATGGCAAAGAGTTCCTTTTTCAAAATTTGAACTTATTTTTTTATTATATCGTTTACAAGTGGCCAGTTCTAAAAACTTTCAGTGTCGCCCTCGCACCTGATAAATTAATATTTTAAGGACATGTACAACATGTTGGATTCTTTCCTGCTCTTCTATTATTCTCTCGGACATTAGCATAGACCTGTCTAGACAGACCCTCATACTTCAGACTGACTTCGTTTATTTACTTATCTATTGAGAAAGGTTAACGAATAAAATGGTTTCAGTTACGCGCCATGGTGCCCAGCTTGTCACGCGTTAGCACCGGCGTGGAAGGAGCTGAGCAACCGTGCGGGTCGCAAGTCGCTGGCCATGCGGACCGCTGCCGTCGATGTCACCAAGTCGCCAGGGTTGAGTGGACGATTCGTCGTCACAGCTCTGCCGACCATTTTCCAGTAAGTTTTTTTTTTATAGAATAAGGGTTACAAACAAGCTCAATATCCACTTGATGGTAAGTGGATGCTGTGGCCCATAGACATCTTCTTTTATTCTCGATTAAGAATCAAAATCCAGATGCATTGTCACCCCTAAGGACTAAGATGGTATGTCTCGTTTCCAGTAAAAAGGGTTTCCTGTTCTCTACACTCACCATACAAAACACAGCAGCATTAAACTACTATTTTACACTGGTATTCTGTGAAAGTGTGGTCTTTCCCCAGTTGAGCCAATCCATTAGTGCTACAACCATATTATAGCTGCAGCGTGGCTCCACCATGTAAGTATTTAAAAAAATAGATGTGTCCTTCACTTTTGTAAAAGGTATTTTAGACAAGTTTATCATAGTCGACGTCATCATAACAAGAACATACAACGATAACTTTATAATATACAAACTTATCCCATTTCCTTCTTTATTATATTTATTGATGTAATAAGTGTGTGCCAATGTCGGAAGACGATTATGCAGCTAGGCAATTATGAGAAAGATCACATAGTATCTGGCTGTCAGGCAGATGAGTTATTTAACCATATTGTATATACCAAATAGAGCAGTGGTAGCTCATAGGTTAAGCTCTTGCTGCTTTCATAGTATGTGAGTAACCCGGGTTCAATCCTTGCCGCGCAATTGCAATTTTAAGTGCTGATTTACCACATTTAAAAAATTAAATTGCACACGCTGGAGCAGTATGGCAGACTAACTGGTCCCATAATGTAGGAAGTAAGAAATATGTATACATTAAGGTTATACATGCATGCTCAGTCTCAAGGAGAGGACAGAAATGGCTGAAACCAGTCTGTGTGAAACTACAGTACCATTGACACACATCACAAGCTGAGCCCTTACCTTTTGCCTTTGTTCTGTCTTTTTTATATTTTATAACATTATATTATCGAGTCGACCCATTCGTGCTACAACTATACTATTGATATAGCTGCAGCATGGCTCTACCACGTAAAAATGGTTTTCTTAGCCTTTTTGAATAATCAAAAAAAATTATTTTAATTTTCAGTGTAAAAGACGGTGAGTTCAGACAGTACAAGGGTCCACGTGATGCCGACGCGATGCTGTTCTACGTGGAAGAGGAAAAGTGGAAGAGCGTGGAGCCGATCTCCGCTTGGAAATCGCCGGACTCGATGCAAATGAGCCTAGTGGCCCAGTTCTTCAAACTCAGCCAGGCTTTGAGAGTGAGTTGCAGGTTTACTATATTGTCTGATTGCTTCCTTAAACAACCATTTTAATTTTTAATTATTCATACAGAAGTTCTGTCAGTGATGGTTGATATAATTTAAAATTTTGTACAACCAACTTCAAAATAAATTATTAAGAATAACTCAAAAAATATTGGTACAGTTGCTGTTTTTAAGATAACTTTAGAGTACACTCCGAACCAAGAAGTTTTAATTAAAACTACTAAACAACATTCATATATTATATCCTATCCCTATACATTTCTTTGGGCGTTTCTTTTTTGGAGAAGTAAAATCTGTTAATTTATCTCTCGACGTACTTGGTTGTGACTCTATCATTAACCACTCTTAATAAAAAATAATTCTAAATAATCAACAAAACAAAATAACAAAATTAAATAAACAATAAAAAATAACAAAAATTTTAACAAATAACTTGTATCACCACGAGCACGTTCCGAATGTTGGCGAACCCGTCTTGACCCTGACATGATTTTGCCGGGAAAACGAGACATTACGACAAATACACAAGATGGAAAGAGATAGATAATAAATTGTCAAATCCACAGTTTTTAAACATTAACTATCTTAATTGTTAAGGATCATAGACTGGGAAACTCAAAAGTTGTAAACTCAAATCCGCTTTTGGCCTACTTAATGTAAACTTAATGTCGGTACCTGTATGCGGAATACACATACCAATCCCAAGGAACCTTATCTGTAGGGCTTACAGGTGACCGACACATACACACACACTAACGCACATTTATACTAACATATACGAGCACATGAAAAAAGTTCTAAATCTGACATATAATTTGAAGTAAATACTAGAAGGGAAACCATTAACATGGAGTAATAAAATTAATAATCGTTAATCATTTTAGTAAATTATTTGCTGCTTTTTTTTTCATTATTATGTTTTCAAAATTGTCAATGAATGTATTATCAATAATAATCATATAAACAGACATATAAATTGCACTAAAACTTATACAACAATTTTATCCTTTATCTAAATATAATAAACAATAAATAAAATATATTTATACAAGTGTATACAAAAAATCTATTTACGTAAACAGTGTTAAAAAACTTTGAAATTCACTAGTCCTTCGCTCGTCTAAAACGCGCGAGCCCTGACTGCGTATGTAACCTGAGGTTCCACACGATTGTAGGTTAGGTGGACTGTAAGCTCGTTTATCACTTAGTTTCATAAGAAAAAAACGATAAAGTTTCACAAATAAAAAGATTTTATATGAAGAAGATTTCAATGGGCTTGTAAATATCGATGGTTCATACACACATCATGATTTATTATATTTAAGTGAATACTGCACATTCAATTAGACTAATTTTATGGATTTTATGGAGCCATCCTTGACCATGGATGCTGTAAGGCACACGAAACGTCAGAAATTAAAAATTTCAAGTGTTTTGTCATTAATAAAGATTATTTCCATTATTTCAGAGTGTCCACAATATGCTGATGGAAACGTACGGACTTCCCACATGGGGATCGTATCTTATCTTTGCCGTGGCGACAATTTTCATCGGAGCATTGCTCGGCTTGGTGAGTTCCATGCACCTAGACAATTTGTTAAAGTTTTAATTTTAAGAAAAAATAATATTGATTAGAAAAATAAAATAATTTTTTTCCCAGGGACAAATGCTCCGTCGTCAAACTGTCTTGAAAAATGGGATTTTTAGTTTATATTCATTATGCCTTTATTTTTTCGAAGGAAGTAAACTGACAATTAATATAAGGTGTTTTATAGTGTTTAGTATTTAACACTATTTTTTGTTGAATGTGCGATATTTTAAACTACTATAAATTAATTGAATTTTATTGTTATATATGACTTAACTGTACAAAACCTACAATTTATTAGAATTTTCAACCTCGATTACATCATAATACTAAAATAATAAACATCCAGGATTTTAAAAAACTGGATTTGGTTTGGATTATAATTAAATAGTTTCCATTATTTGATTATATATCCATTATTCCATTATTTGTATGTATGTACGTGTTACTCACTTGCAACACATTACAAGCAACAATGCAATAACAAAAACACTTTAATGATAATATATGAAATTTATTTTGTTGAAAATAATTCTATGTACTTAGAGGCCATTCATCAAAAAATCTAGATGCCCTTATCTTGGGGGAGAGGAGGGTAAAACCCCATTCTTATGTAATATTTTGTAAGTCGAAAATCGCTGAAATCATCCGTCCGTAATAGAATGGCCCCTTATGTCATGCTGAACTATGAAGTGTTTTCTTTCTTTCATTCAGAATCCTTTTTTTAATACGACATATGTATATATATATCCATATTACACCTTCGTAGTTATGTACATGTTCATTATTTTTAAACGTGTTATTATAACTGTTGTAAAATTGTAGATGCTGGTATGCGTGATTGATCTCCTGTACCCACCGCGTCGACACGACAAAGTGACCGTGTCTCTGGCCGAAGCGGACGGACGCAAGCAGCAGAATGGCAACAAGTCCGACGATGAACAGGTATGCCTAATGGATCATCAAACTTGTTCAAGTTCTAGGATTATAGCATAGCCTCTGAGCTATTCTATAGTCACCTAGGATCTTATCATTTTTCTTTATTTAAAAAAGTTACACACACTAGGAATTTCTGATACTTTATATCATGGAGACGTAATACTTGCATCCAGACCCTATATATTTCTAGGTCATATAAATACTTGTTCAAATGTGTAGCTACTGACTAAGTTGCCCAGACTGGTCGTATATACATTACAGCAGGTACGGACAGGATAGTTGATAGCTTTCTACAGGATTGCAATAAAATTCTCGTCGTCCCTTCTGATCCATCTATCCCACAGGATCTACACAATATAATATCCCTGTTGTTTGCAGGAGCTGATCAATGATGATATCGTTGACGACGCCGAGGACTCTCAGAACAGCGATGCCGAGAAAAACTCACCTAGCGATGTGAGTTGATGCAAATGTGATTTGATTAAACTATAATATGTGGTAGAGTCAAGCTGCAGCTATATCATGGCTGCATCACGAATGGACTCGAATGGGCTCGACCGGGGGAGACCCAAACTCTCACAGAATAGCAACCTAATGCTGCGGTGTTTCGTATGGTGGGTGTAGAGAAAAGTAAAATAAAAATTTATATGTGGTAGAGGCATGCTGCAGTTACGTTGTGATTGCAGCACGAATGGGTCGGCTCAAATGGGGAACGGACTACGCTCTCACAGAATACTATTATGAAATAGCAGCTTAGTGTTTGTTATATCATAGATTGTCATAAATAGTTGAACATAAGTTGAAATACCCACCGTATTTGCATAACATTGTTAAGAAATAATGTTAGTTAAGTCAACCAGATTGCCATTAGTTATGCTACCTAGCACAATACACGTATTTACCTAAATTACGGTGTTTTATTGAATCTTAGAGTGCTGCCACAGATTACTTAATAGTTTACTAAACAGATACATCACCCCCATACAAAAGCGAAAATACCTACGCTATAATAGCCTACAAAATCTTAATAATAATATCTGCTGTTCGCAGCGAGAGGAAAATGTACCATAAGTACGCGTATAAAGAGTCGAGATTGTGTTGACCGCCGTGCGCCTCACGTGCAAGCGCGTCATCGCACGAATGCGCTAGGGTTGTACCTATGATGATTATTGTAATAAAACGAATCTTGCGAAATAACCATATTTTGTATTTTTCAATCAAATATGTTTGAGTTTTTTTTTTAATTTTTTTCCTTCTCTGAATACTCGGTTATTAAATCTTATCGTTGAAAATATCCTAAATCGCGTAAATAATTTTAATAAATAATCATGAGGAAAACAGAGTGGAGGAAAATCATTGGTTTGTAAAATTTGTAACACGCTGCTGCCAGACCGATTCATTATAGCGTTGTCAAAATTATTTAAGACTTATTATATAATTTGGATGTCCAGGTTGTCACTTAATTTATAAATCACAGCACTGTTATGCTGTTGTTTCGATGTAATCTTATAGTTAAGAAAAAAATGACAATTTTTCATTTGTTTTTTTTTGACTCTGCAACCCAATAATTACGTGGTTTCGGCATTTCGACGAGTAAGCGCTGGAAACGTCCGCGGTGCAAGCGCTCAGGCGGCGTGCGGCAGCCCGATGTCGGTTGTATCGTGGGCGATACGCAGAACGGTATTCATATAAAGCAGGGTCTTGAGCGAGTGACGGAGGCCTGGTCTGCTGTTTTTGTATAGTGAGTGTAGACAAGCGGAGACCATTTTTACTGGCGATGAACCATTCCACCTTATTGCTCAGGAATGACGATGCATCTGCATTTTGATTCTTAATTGAGGATAAATGTAGATGTCTATAGGCCACAGCAACGACTTACCATCACTGGTCTGTGTTCTTGTTTGTTTCACCCCTTCTTCATTATCAATACAGCTCATCATAAGTCCACTGTTCAACGTAGGCCTCCCCCCCAAGGAATGGCATATACCACGGTTCTAAGTCACCTGCATCCATCTTCCTGCATCTCTTGCCAGGTTGTCACTCCATCTAGTGAGAGGCCGACCTACACTTTGCTTACGGTTACGAGGCTGCCACTCGAGAACTTTTCATTCCCATCGGTTGTTAGTTTTATGAGCTATATGGCCGGCCCATTGCCACTTCATCTTACATACACCCTTGTATAAAGAAAATAATAAAATTAACAAACAAGTGTTACTTTTTATTATTTGTGCAAATTTTGTGATATAAGAATTTAAATTGAAATTTCTCAGCCAGTGAGTGAGCACTTGCCTAACATTTTTACTACACATAGTTTAATTTATCAATGAAAGTGTTACTTACAATTGTTAGTGCTAACCATATTCTCGTCAGTAAAGGAAGACATAGTGGTGAATCAATCGTATTTGGGGAATTAAATTTTAACTAAGGCAAAGTTACATATTATAATATTTATTTTAATGGGCGTAAAAACTCATGATTGTGTTTTCACAGACAGAGGACGAGTCGCAGCCGAAAGCAGAGGGCTCCGGCGACGACAAACCGAGCGAGGTGCGCAAACGGCGGCCCAGGAAGGCAGATTAGGGCTCCACTACAAATTCACTGCTCCTCTAATCTATTAAAGGACAGTTGACTTATAACTAACGGGAAATTAAAGAGTTTCATTTGCATTTTTAGAATTTTCATTGTATGTTAAATGGAAGCAAGCAAGTGTGAAATCTCAAACCAGTTAAATATAAATATTTATTATCATTTTCGCTTTTTCCTAAAGCTTCACTTTACTTACATGTAAATTTAATTCGATTGTCTCTAAGACTAACGATCTGTGTCGTGATAGGTAATATACTTTGTTATTGTGATTAAAGATTTCGCACTTTAAAAAACTAAAAAATGGATTAAGGCTGTAAGGAAACGGCAGTTATTTTGTTACGCTACTTGTGTCGCTACCGACAGTTACTCTGAAAGACTGGCGTTCGTTTTGATATGAGCGAGCTCAAACTGATGCATTTTTTTTTTATATAGATTTGACGGCACGCTAAAGTACTGTGCGTGAACCTAACAAATTATTATATAAAAATATTTGGTAGTTATTTTGCAAAAACTATAATTTTCTGATTGTTCTTTGATTTAATTAATTAAAAAATGTCCTTTATTAATAAATAAAAAAAACACTGCAAAATCTCTGTAATATTTGCAAAAATTATTTACTGGATATAATTGTTAATGTAATGGATACAATGTAATTCAGTAGACTTACAAAAAATCATGCATTCTGTTACCTGTTAGGGATTATGTATATGCATATATCACAATAATTTTATATCGTGTGTTTTTTCACATTCTTTATTGTAGCAATTTAGCAATGTACTAAAAAAATCGGCTTTTATATATATGGCTTATATCGGGTCTACTTAATAACTTATCCAGTTAGTCCCTATAGCTCTATGGTCTAATAGCTATTAGCATTTTAGTAACATAAAACTTCGCTCTACTAAATAATACTGGTCCATACAGTATTACAGCGTGTCGTCTAAATAAGCTTAAATTTTTTACGTTGTATATCTCATTCCTAGTAAACGTATCTTTTTGTAAACATGTATATCCTCACTTATGGTTTTTTATGCACCAAAATTAGTGTATTCATTTAGTAGTAGGCCCGCATGATGGGAAAGTATTATCAAATAATAATTAAAATTAGTCACCAGCGATTTTATTATTTTTCAGTTTGAAGAGTTTCTTGAGAGTGAAGTAGAAAGGTGCAAAAAGAAGTAATTGACAGTTATTGTTTTATATTGTTTTCGGCGCGCATTCCTTGTTAATGTAATCTATACTTCGTTAAAAGTAAACACGCGCTACGTACTTACGAGATTAATAATACATTTATATTGAAACCATTTTATACGATTGTCAATATATTTATGTAGATTATGTTGCCTTTTATTTTTATATACTTATAAAGACAGCTGTTTTCAAATATTGTGTATTATTCATAACCAATCTATGGTATTAAATTAACATTTATATGCTCATATAAATATGAGTGAAAAGTACTGAATTTATCGCATAAATAATATAAAATTAAAAAGTAATTTTCTATTACATAGTAAAATTTAAAAATTCGTCAGCCTAGGCTTTAGGCTGTATGGTCTTTAACCTTTGCCTGAGAACTTTTTGGCAGCCAGACTAAACGTAGGAAACGCAGATTTAAATTATGCTTTTCCTCCCCCCTTTATTATGTTCTTTCTAGTAGCATCCCCACGTCCTACAAATTTTAAAACATTACTATCACTAGTTTGCAGTCCGTTTGAACATCAGCAGATTTTATATAATAATCTCAGACCAACAAAGAAGATAAGTGATATCAAAGCCATATTCAACGTCATGCGCACTCACGCACACATCTTTCTCCTTTCTTTATCAACCCGTAAAATTGCAAATTATTTTAGATGCGTGTACGAGAGTGCGTGTTGTTACAATAAGTTTATGGTTTTGGTGTCAGTAATGTACGCAACGCTCTGTCTTTTTTCTTCGTTGGTCTTAAGCTTTTATGTTTGACGCTGGTAAAAGTGTCTTGATATTCTGTAACGAATTCGGCTGAAAGTGAAAACGTGTTTTTATATTATATCCATATATTTGAGATTTGTTCTTCAGAGCGACAATAATTTATATTGATAGTTAAATTATATTATGTCGCAGGGATATTTTTCAATTCGTGATACTTTAATCACATCATTATACAGTTTTTTGGTAGCTGCGACCAGTTCATACGATTTCACAGACTATCCAGTGTTGTAATGTAATGTCACGGTGCCGTTATAGTGATATTATAATAACTCTAGATACATTATGTATGTATGTAATTACTCTCTTTGTGTTGCAAAATATATTCTCCTAAACAAACTAATCAGTGAGAGTCTCACAAACTAACGGAGTTAAAAGAAAATATCACTGGCTGTAAAAGTCTAGTTAAATTATAATTTCACCTTTATGTATAATTAATTGTCGATTATATAACGTTTTGGTATCATTTTACTAATAAGACTTCAAATTAAAATTAAAAAAAAAAACTAAAAATATTCAATTACTTTACCCTGTGACATACTTATACTAATAACGAATAAACAGATCTATCGAGAAAAACAGTCAGCACAGTATTTCATTAAAAACTGTTTTCTGAACACAGTATAAAAATACAGTTTGTAATAATTTTGCGAAAACTTGCAGCTTTGTGATGTTCGAGCAAATTTGCTGTATAAATTTGTTTACCCCAGCGCAGTCCGATATTGTTAACACGTTTGCCTTGTACAAAGACTTAAGATTGTTTTAAGTGTTGCTACTGCATATATTAACTATTGACCTAGAAATTCGCTAAATAAATAATTGTGTTTATAGATCGGTATTTTATTTATTTGTATATTGCTTGGGAATTGAAGAGTACTGAATACAGTGCCATATAAAAACACACAGGCAAATCTCGTCCTTAGGTTTCCCGTGTCCGATTAAAATGCGACAAGATACCAGACCGGAAAAGGTTGGTTCCATTTTTTCGGTTTGCGCACAAAAATAATGTTTTTTTTTTATTTTCACGTTCACGCTCTGCTAAGTTTTTTTCTTTTATAGTATAAGTGTGGCAAACGAGCATACAGTCCACCTGATGGTAAGTGGATTTTGTGGCCCATAGGCACCTACATATCGTTTGTCCGGAAGAATACAGTATCATGTCAAAATTTGGCACTAACTGACTTAATAATACAGTTCGACTAAAAAAAGTACGTTCTACCTTTTAAATTAGGTCGAAAATTGCTTTCACCTTGAATGAACCAATCACGAAAGTTGCATCTATATCCCTCTCGCTCTTTCTGTTTCGCTAGAAAAAGGAAGAACGACACGTTCAGTGTTGCTCCTGTCCTTGAACTAGTTTGACCCGTATTGTTATTCGAAACAGAGTATTATCTATTCATGATACATAGATTCGGTTTTACCCCAAGAAGAAAAGTGTATTATTGTGATTTCTTGCTGTATTTTTCTTTAAGTAAGTATTTTATTTTCCAAATCCTATTTAGAACAGAGTTGTAACACGAAAATTAACCTGTATTCTTCACTATAACGTAACGCTTAGTGTACCCCGCATTTAAATGAACAAAGTATTATTTTGAGTTGTGCCTATGATCTATTAAAAGTTTTGTGTATTTTTTTGTTTGCTACTTTATTCACCTTAAGTTGTATCTTATTCAAGTATTATTACAAAATGTGTCTGTGTTCATTTGAATTTTAGTTGATGTTAATGTATCAAAGGTAAAAACTACGATGTTCTGTTTACAACTATTTAATTTAGATAGCAGTTTGTCTAATTCTGACTATGATCTTCAGTTTCATATTCTTTATTTCAGAATGATACTACAGAAAAGACTAGATTATATTCGAAAATGTATAGTAGCACAGGGTGAGTCATCAAATAACCGTCAATATAATTTGAACTCATCCGAAAATCTTGATACTAGCTTAGATGAACAAGGCCCTGGCTACATCGAATGTTTAGAAAATGTTGATTTTGCATGCGAATCTGATCCAAATGGTAAGAATAGTATTTTTTATAATAGGTATTAATAACTTTAACTAGTGGTTTTGCTGTTTTGCTCAATATCGAACACAAGAAGGCGTTGTATTTTATCCGGATTTATTCAGCCATTCTGACGTTAATGAGTAATACCTAAACATCCTAACTTTTACATGTATAATATTATTAAAATAATCATTATTTTTCTTTTGATCAAAGTACGAGTAACATGAGGAACAAAAAATATTAGTAATTTAAGTATTGCAATGACACGTTTTTCTTGTTGTTCCGCTATGCCGCATTTATCAAGTTCATTGTTTTATTTATTTTCCTTATTACAGAAAATGTACAAACCAATTTGATTGAAAATATAAATGCTCCAGATCATAGTATTCCAGCATCCAGTGCTATTGAAAATTGTTTGAAAAATGATGCAAATGTTACTGATATTAATGGTGAGAATATATTTGAATGATTTTTTAATCTGAATGGAGGTTACTATTCCTTCGTTTATTTATATTTAGGTATATTTTTATCATTTAAATTTTTATTTTTATTTTAGGCATATCTAACAGTGAAGATCTAAGTGAAGCCGATAAAAGTGATGGACCCGATTTCGATTCAGATGACAGCGTTAAAGATCCGAACTTTAGACATAGATCAGCGTCAATATCATCAACGGATTCAATTTCATCTTCCAGCTCCAGCTCCTCCAATTCCAGTTCATTATCATCAGCTTCTAGTACACGCTCACATTCCGCCCACCGCGAAAACATTCCACCTGCATTACACGTCTCTAGCATCGAAATCATTCCACCTGCAGACTCTCAGATTGAAAACTTAGATTTGAACAAAAAACTCACACGTAAACGACAACGAAATATTAACGACTGGAAATCGGAAGTCGCGAAACGTTTAAGAAACACAGGTCAAAGCTACACATCAAAAAAACTAAAAAAAAGTCATTCCAGCCAGAAAAGTAGGGCCACCATGTGGTGAGAAGTGTCATCTAAAATGTTCTGGAAAT